CCAGCTTTCTGAAAATGCCAGCTCTGAGCAGCTGCCGTTTGACTTCAGCTCTGCATGCCCTGAGCAAGCCATGAGATACAGAAGTATGAGTGTGCACTTTTTTCCTTTCTCTGATTTCTTACGTCAATGCTTAGGTTTTGAAGAGCCTTTTCCATCTAAGAATAAAAGGGAAACTAGTCATCAACCCAGAACTTGGGGAAGGGGAGAGAGACACGACTGTTTATCTGCTCAATAAGGATCCTTTTGAATGCATCACCAGCTGCCAACAAACACAAATGTGTTTTATTTTCCTTTCAGTGAGTGCATGTGGGAGGGGAGGAGAGAGAGGAGGGAGTCTGTGTTAGCTCTGCTGTTACACTGCTGAATTAAGACAGCCACCTACCCATCATCTTACTTCCAAATCCCTCTTGATTTTCAGACACCTCTGACATTTCACAGCCTTCTGTTGCCCATCCTGTTTAAATATTAATGCATCCAAAGGTTCAGATGACTGCAGCCATCCAGAACAGAGAATCAGAAATTAAAAGCAAACGGGCAGAACAAAGCCCGGTAACGAGTGCATGGTTCTGAACTTGCTGGGAAGGCTGAGATGAGCATACAGTCAGCTTGAGCTGTGAGTCATCCTTTCTTGTTATTAATGCAGTATTTATCAGCACTCACTCCTTTCCTCATGATTTCTGCCAGCTCTGTTTTCACACCACGTTCATCACCACAGCTTTCCCGTTTCTCTGCCCAGCTCTCACAGTGCCTGTCGTGCCCAGCAGGGCCCAGCTCGTGTTCTCAGGCTCTGTCCGTGTCCCATACTCCCATTGTGTCAGCAGCCTCTTTCTCTGGGTGTTGTACTTCTTTTGCAACTGTTTGTGTTTCTATGTGATGGGGCAGCAGTGGTGAAATAAAAAGTGACAGCCTACGCTGAGTGTTGTTATGACACCGTCATTTCAATTCTCAAGCAGATGGAGCCAGCAGGAGTTGAGCGCAGCTCTTCGGATGCACTAAATGGATTCAGCATTCGGCTGACCTGACCTCTGAGCCCAAGACGTGGCACTGACCTTCAGAGCACTAGGGATGGTCTCGCTTGTCCTGCTACTGCCGCTGCCATGTACTGCTGGACAGGGGTTGTGCATCTCTCAATGTAAGTTGCATTGTCCTGTACACAAGGAGTGACCGTGGGCTCTTCATCCAGCCTCCAGATCACCAGCATTGAATCTGCATGGATAACCTGACCTGTCCCCATCCCCACATGGACAGGGACAGCAAGGTCTGAGGAGCACACAACATGTCCAACAGGGACATCCAGCAAACCATCACAAGAGCTGAGAACAGACACCACACACTTCTATGACACCAGTCCCACCTTCCATACTGACCTGTCAGCTATGGGGAGAGAGAAAGATAGAACCCTTAGAAGAGGAAAACCATGGTCAGGAAAGAGAAGATGCCAAATGCAGACGTTATGGGAAGTGCTCAACATTTCCTTCCATTCAGCCTGAAAGTCAGAAATTATAACGGCTTAATCCTAAGGAGAGGAGGATGAAAGGCTTTGCTCCTGGGCATGTGACACTGCTCCCCTTTGTGGTACCAGATGCAGGGAAAGAGCAGAGAAGAAAAGCAAATCTGGAGCTGAAAGGCTCTTCCCCCCCACCCCTCCCCCTTTTTAAAGAAAGAACAAATTTAAAATTATCCTGAAAGAACAACTCTTCCTTTCAAAGGCATTAGTTTGGGAAGCTGGCTGTAAAAGGGTACATTTTTGAAATGTGGCTGCAGTTACCAAGCAACCTGCTCTGCTGGCAGCAGCGTGTCCGAATTCGGGGGAGGCAGAGCCCGTGGCTCTGCCCTCCCAGGACAGCGAGTGCAAGCTGGGCAGTCCAGACAGCTGGCACACCACCTGTGTGCAGCCAGGACCCTCCACACAGAGTGGCCTCCAGAGCTAGCTGGGCCTCTGGAAGAAGTGAGAATGGTGAGACATTGCACTGACAGAGGATGGAGGAACAAGAAGAAGAAAATCTGAAATCAGCCCAGTAGCTGGAGCAGAAGAGCTATGGGTTTATGCGGGTGCAACTATAAGCATAATTTGATGTATATTACTAAAACTAAGGCAAACAGCAAACAAAATTCTCAATTAACACTCACAGTTCTCATATGCATTGGACACACTGCAGTGCTTTGCAGGATTTTCTATAGCCCAGGGACCTAAGAGTGGAAAGAAAACAGATGCCCTGCGACCCAACCTTTCCAGGCTGAAAATCCCCCAACTCTACCTGGGTCCAAAGCTCCACCAGAGCTTTCATTCCATTAACTCTGCACAAGGATATCATTACACTTTTCTAATCATGAGCTGTTTTGTTATATCCATTACTGTTCTAAATAGGAATTAGGCACAACATGCACTTAATCTAGGTTATGAGTTATGCTGGAAAAAAATCTAAGCATATATCCAAGACAAAGAGCTGAGATGTTTTATTTCCCCCATTTGGTAAAGAGAACTGGCCCCAAAACTTCACAACCTCACACTGTCCCAAATATCTCCTGGCAGCCTCTGCCCTCATAATGTCCTGAGCTGCCTGGTGCCGAGGGCTGGGTTCAAAACTCTTGGCTCCAAGCATTGACCAAAAGGCTGTGATTACATGCTATTTGAGACACCTGAGGATGCTAATAGTAAAGATGGGAGCACCTCCCAGCACCTCTTTCTACCCTTTTGAGCCACCCTCCCCCATCACCTGAGCCAGCAGGAGCAGCATGTTTTCATGTCAAATCTGAAGTGCAAACAGCTCGCATGTCAAAGTGACAGCATCTCTCTGGGGTGCTCCTCACAGCAAGCAGGTCTCCCCGGTGCTCTCAGCGTGCCAGGCGGCTGCAGACCTCACCAGCCATCCCTGCTGCAGCAGAGGTCCTGAGTGCCTGGACCTACCCACACACACCTCCATACACCTCTGCTGCCCACACATGCTGTGGAGCACGTCAGGAGTTTGGTACATTTACAGCATAGTTTTTCTCACTGAGAATGCTGACTGCATTTTCTGCCACTGTTTCACCTGGGCACAGTCCTGCAATTCTATTGATTTAGGCCCCAGCCCAACACATTTTGAAAATGTCATTACATTTAACATTTGATTAATTTAATTTCAGTAAAACTAAATTAATTTCTCAGTTTTACAGCCTTAAAGCTGTATACCCACATGAAGGTTGGATGGGTTGCAATCTAACAGATGCACAACTTCTTGGGGTTGAGAATAGATCTCCACCCATCAGCATAAAATTTGAATGTTACACTGCTAAGCCTCTGGGTTTTCCGTTAATCAAAATTCACCAAATCACTCTAGGATTGTATCCCTATCAGTCCATCAGGTGCCACAGGACACTCATTATGAGCAAAAGCACTTCAGTTGTTCATGTTGAACTGAACAACCAGGTTCCTCTTCTTCAATGTCATGTGGAGATGGGAAAGCCAAGTGTCATTTAAGTAGTGTCAGCATCCCATTGTGGGATTCAGACCCCATTCTTGGGGTGCACTCATGGTGATGCATGATGCACACACTTGCATCTCTCAAGTCCATGGGACTGGTCAGAGCATGAAGCAATGTGCAGCATATTGAGAGGAAATAATCAGTCCCCATGTGGCATCCCACTTCCCTCTTTCCTCCCACATCCAAGAAAACCCAAGTGCTGTCTTCTCACAGCCAGGCAGGTGTTGGGTCTGATGTTTCTGATCCACATTCTGTTTTGACTCCAAGAGATGGATCTCCACAGGTTTCATTAGATATGTGTAGACCATAGGGTATTTCAAAACTCTAGGCAGGGGTGCAGCCAGCCCCCATTTAAATGCGGATGCTTTAAGAATAATTATCAATTGCTCAATCTCCATGTGAAGCAGCAGCAGGATGGAGCTGGAGCATGCAGGGAAGGTGGCAGTGCAGGCAATCCTGAGGACACCAGCAACTGCCTTTCAGCTCTCACATTTATAAATAATTTATTTCCAGCCACCTGTGCCCAGAATAACAATTTTCTGCCCAAAATCTCCTAGCTGATGCTGGGAGGCTGTCAGGGACTTGCTTTCCCGGGACCCTCTCGACCTCTTGGGAAGGGGTCCGGGTCTCTAGAGGGGCAGCTCTGAAGGGATGTGCCCCTAGTGGGAAGAGGCACGAGAAACAAACACGGGAGCATCCGTTCAGCTGATCGCATTAGGGCTTCTCGCTGCTGCTGCTGCTGCCATTCAGCCCTCTGTCGATGCAGCCATCCGTGCCTTTGGACAAACACCCAGGCAGAGGGAATGGGTAGGTCTGGAAACGTCGGCAGCTGCAGAAGGCTGCAGAGCTCTGCTGAGAGGCAGCCTTAGAGGAGAGGCTGCTTCCCCGGGCAGGGGAGCGTTATGAAACACGAGCGCACTGGCTGTGCTTGAGGATTTTGGCAGCGCAGGCGGACGCCGCTTCCATCCTGCCTGTTGGAGGCCATGGAGCGGCTCCCTCCGGCCGGCTCCCGCAGGGCGCAGGACCCCGGCGCCCCGGCCCGGTGAGCCGCGGGGACCCGGAGAGCCGCGGGGACCCGGAGAGCTGCAGGGACCCGGAGAGCTGCAGGGACCCCGGAAAGCTGCAGGGACCCGGAGAGCTGCAGGGACCCCGGAGAGCTGCAGGGACCCGGAGAGCTGCAGGGACCCGGAGAGCTGCAGGGACCCCGGAGAGCCGCGGGGACCCGGAGAGCTGCAGGGACCCCGGAGAGCCGCGGGGACCCGGAGAGCCGCGGGGACCCGGAGAGCTGCAGGGACCCGGGGAGCTGCAGGGACCCCGGAGAGCCGCGGGGACCCGGAGAGCTGCGGGGACCCGGAGAGCTGCGGGGACCCGGAGAGCTGCAGGGACCCCGGAGAGCCGCAGGGACCCGGAGAGCTGCAGGGACCCCGGAGAGCCGCGGGGACCCGGAGAGCCGCAGGGACCCCTGGAGGGACACGGCGGCAGCGGTGAGCGGGGCGCGGACAAGAGCTGGGCGAGTTCCCGACAGGGCAGCGGGAGGGAGCGGAGCGCCGCAGAGCCGGGCACGGCACCGAGCGGGGCGCGCAGGATTACGGCTCTGCGCGCTGGAAGCGGGAGCCAGCAGAGGGATTAGTAGGGAAGGGCAGAGGGAGCAGGATTTATCAGCTTTTCAGAGATGCATTACGGCCTTTTGTAATATTTCACTGGATTGCACAGGACTTTGCCTGGCTACAACAGTGGTTCCTCAGCCACAGAAGAGAGGTGAGGTTTTTCCTCTTTTTCTTACACCGTTCAGTATCTGCCTCTGTGAGCCGTGTGCCAGCTGGCCTGGGCACGAGCAATAACCAGACAACTTTTTCCAGGCTGAGGTATCAGCATTCATTGCAATCTCAATGACTATTTGTTTCACTAATTAATCCACAGCATCTAATTCAAGGGGTTTAGCGGCATTATTTACAAAGACTGCAGGTTGCTCTCGAGATGCCCTTCCCCAAGCATCCGTGGAACATTACACTTGAAAAGTCAGCAATGGATACTGCAAGTGTATGTGTGTGTGTCACAGGCTAGTGAGGCAGGCTGGAATGTTCAGCTTCTCCCATCAGTTTCTGGAGCATCACTGTGCTGAATAAATAGACTCTATCAATGTTTAGTAGGTGAATGTTGCAGGAATTCAGATATTGAGAGTTTATGAAAGACATTTCTAAAACACCTATGATTAAGTTACAGAGCTCTGTGTAATTTTAATTCTAGTAATTTCCTTGTACACAGGGAAAGATCTCATCTTGTCGACCCTGTGGGCTAAGGCAAACATAAATATATGGTACATTTGTTATAACATTCTTGTGCAAAACTTCAACTACAGACCACATAGGAGCTTCTGGAAACCATAGATAGAGCATTATTTGCTGGGTGGTTGATCACTTAATACCTAAGAACATACATCATTCATGAATGTTTTATTGTTAATTAAATACTTTTGAGATACAGTAATAGTTTGCTGAAAGCTTTCAGTTTGTGAGAGAATGGTGACAACAGACTGTATGCTACCTCTTGAGCACATATCACTCTGTTTACAGAATGCACACACATGGAATTGGAAGCACATGTACCCCTGAAATGTGGGTATGCATGTGTCTGCACGCATCTGTTCCATACTGGCATGGAATTAGTCCTGCTGATTACTGCATTATGACTTGAGCTAGGTAAAAAGTGTGGGATTAATGGAGAAATACCACAGTGTGATCTCTGCTCAAGCTGTCCCTGAGCACTTTCCAAGTCAGCACTCTCACAATAAGCCTTGCTGGACCATCTGCCTCCCGCAGGCTCCCTTTGCATACCCCACCTCAAAATCACCAACAACATTATTGTCTGGATTTACACCTATGTATGCTAAAAAATTGGTCTTAAAAAGCTGAATATCTAGTGAAAGTGCCACTAGGAAAGGATTTGCACAAGTTAGTGCCAACTTCTCCAGCTTCAGGCTACAGCTCTGCTCTGTGGCATTGCCTTTGCCTTCCAAAGTTGAATTATCTGTCTCTCTAAAGCACCTCCTCTATTGGATAAAGAGGGTATAATATATTTAAATTTGTGTTACTTTCAACTTGATTTGACCAGTTAATGGACTATAGAGTTTTTCACCATCTTTCTGCTAACTCCACATAAAGATTTTTTTCTTGTTTGTCATAGTTTGGTGTTATTTAAAGGTTTTAACACAATCTCACCATCAAAGATAATTTTGCAATCTGATTACATCTTGTAGCAAGCCCACCTGTAGCAAGTCATGGTAAACTTGCTGGAGAGCCCTCTCAAGCTGCAAGACTTGTCACTACAGCATGCGGAGAAATTTGTGTGCTTCTACCTAATTTCCAGTTTGGTGGCAGACCTCCCTTGTTGGAGGGAGGGAGACATGTGGGGTCAGCACAGTCACGTCCTTTAGCAAGGAAAACTTTGTAAGTTGTAAGAAGTGCTTAAAGTTTCTCAGAATGATTGGAATAAGGGGAACTGCAAACAGTTGGGAGGGTCCCAACATCAAATCTGTGGCTTAAGAGTTTTACCTCCTATATGCATTCACACAATTTGATATTTGTCTTGACTTTCCAAAACACTGAGAAAATGGCAGCATGTATCCAAGGAAAAGGCTGCAAGACAGAATCCTTCAGCTGAGGCCTGACTGCATTTGTCCTCAAAGAAAGCTGACAAAAGAAAGGAGAGACAGGGCAGAGGGATGGATTTTTCTAAAAATAGTAATCATAAGTCCAATTCCCTTCAGTTTACAACAAGAAACATTATCTTGCTTCCTTGCCAGCAACTCTGAATTTGCAAAATCCTTCTGGTCTTTAGACAAGGACCAACTCTTGATGACCTGCAGCTGTCAATGCAGCACTGACCTGAGCTTCTGTGTGGAGCACACATTAAGGGACAGTCCCCAGTTAAGCAACCCTTCACCTGCAAGTTTGGGGCTGTTTTTCAGTGTCTTCAGCCTTTACCAGCATTCATGGCATCACTGAAAATATTCAGTCTTCCCTTAAAAATTCTGTAAATGCTCCTTCCGCTAGGAGAGTAAAATTGCCAAGAACTTTATCATGTTACTTTTATTTTTCTCTACAAATATGTGAATGCAGCTGCCTAGTGTGATATCTAACTCGGTCAGATTTTGTGAGCTCCTTTTGGAAGCAAGGTACTGATCTGCTTTTCCTTATAGCAACTCTTTTGGTGACAAGAGATCCTTTCCTGAAGTCCCAGCACCCTGTAGATCTGTGCTTCCACTCTCCATTCCCAAAGCTGATAATTTCCAGTGCTAATTATTGCCCTTTTTTTCAGTGCAGTGTTAACCCTTTCATTGCCCTCTTCACCTAGAGGTCTCCTCTGCCATTTAACCATTCTCACTGCCCATCAATTATCCATCATTGTCTTTTCAATTGTAATTTTATGATTTTATTAACAACTTCAAATCCTTATGGTCCTAAGCCCCCTTTGGCTGTGAGAACTGATAAATAGGAATAAAGGCTTGTTTTCTTCCATTTCACTTCGTTCATTTTAGGTGAAACATGCATGAAAAAGACAAATGCCACATTTTCTATTACAGATACTAGTTCTTTCCTCCTTAGTCTTTCCTTTTAAATATCATAATCAGAAGTGATGCCCTTCAGCTCTTTTAGGCATACTTTGATGATATTGCAATATGCAGTTTATGGAAAAATCAAATTACAGTTTTTATTTCAGCAGCATTTTGCTATTTCCCCACTAAAAAGCAACATTTAATTTTTGAGTTGCACATTTGCAGCAGTGGTTGTGGGCGGAGAGTCTGCTTATTTATTTGGTTGGGTTTTACTACAATGTACTGTCATGGCAACTGCTCTAAGAGTGAGTGCATCTGGAGGTAATTCGTACACATCATGTCGAATGCAGCAAAATTACCTTGTACCATTTAAACTTTTTCAACCACTGGGCAAGGTTACCCCTTTGAGACTCCGGAGCAGCTTCTTCTTACTAAACAAACAAATACATAAACAAACTTGGCAGAGCACTAGGAGCAATGCCAAACATTTCTTGATGTTTGGATGCAGAGCCTGCTGCACAGTTAATTTAGGTCCAGTACCTTGGGTGTTTTCCCCAGTTCTGCTGATGCACAGCAAGCTTTCCATCCTGTTCATGTGGAGGCAGAATGTTGTGCCCAGCCCAGGTGCTGTTTGGGCAGGCATTGGCCAGACTAGTCTCCCTTGGCTCCAGGAGGCATTGCCATGTGCTGCCCAGGCAAGTGCCAGATCCTCTCATCCTGGCATTGACGTGGCCTCTAGCTGTTTCTTTTTTCATCACTACAAGTATGGAGAAACTATCAAAATCCACTGACCAATCACACAAGTGGCATTAAAAGGGACTAAATTGAGCCAGTGAGGCAGTTTCAAGCATAATATTCCTGACCTTTGCTACATGGTCTTGATGGCCCTTTTCCAGCCAAGATGTGGGCACTGCTTGATGAGACAGAAAGCTCCAGCTATCCCAGCATGGCCTCTCCAACACCAGCAACACAGAGTCATCTGAGAACTTGGGCTTGAAGCATTTCTCTCGGTGAATAAACCAAAAGAACTGTGAAACCCTGAATTACAGCTGGGTAGAAATGACTGCAAATCTGATATATTTATCTAGTCTTATCTTTCTGCTGGGTGGGGGGGAAATCTTAAGCCTTTTGAAGTGCTGTGTGAGTGCAGCCGCTGCCATCTCACCGCTGAGGGCTTGCAGCAGCTGCACTGGGCAGAGCTGCCTTGGGCTGAGAGAGCCTGGCCACCGAGGCCCCTGCCCTGCTGACCCAGCCTCACCTCGAGGCACTGCACGGAGCGTGGCCATCCCAGCCCCAATCTCAGGTGGCCGATACCTGCACACTGCTGCTTTCAGATCACACAGCCTCCACTGGGAACAGCTCAAGTTTACAGTAGCCCCATGGCAGGAACAACTAGTGAATCAAATCCCACCTATGCTCACAGACAATATTTCTTCAGATGAATTAGTGCAGTAACATCCTGCAGGATCTAATTATTGCTAATTTTCCATTCATTTGTCTCGATACATCTGACCCTTTTACTGCAATTCTTGAGCACTCACAACATTGATCAGAGATTTAACTCTAAGGGTCAGCTCTTTAGCTGGTGTAAATCAATGCATTTTCTTTGGCTTTGGAGCTGATCCGAAGGGAGGAGTGTAACTTCTGCTGCAGAGAGAGCAGTCAGAATTCACTGAAGATGCTATAGCCTGGCAGTGCTTCGCAACTGCTCATGCTCACCAGCCCTTGGAGAAAGAGTAGCAATCAGCACATTGAATACTTCTGGATATTACTCAGTCCTCTACAATTAAAATCAGCATACATGTGCTTTAAAAAATACCAGTAATAAAAGTACCTAAATCAGGTCTTCAAGATCATCTGAATTGTATGATTCGAGACAGAGACTCCTGGCTTGTGACAGCCTCACTTAGGAATTGAAGATAAAAGGTCACACAAAAGGAATTCAGGCTCAACTGACAAAAGATTTAACTGAGCCTTAATTTACTTTTGTCCTAGAAGTTTTGGATCTTTGGTTTGGTTGCTATCTAAGACAGAAAGAATTTGCACAACCAAATGAAAAAGGGAATGGGTGGAGACTAAATTGGTAACATTTATTTAATAAAGCAGCATAAGTGAGCATCCACAAAACTTTCAATCAACAACTGAAACAAGAAACAGTGAGCAGATGTACGTTGCCAGGACTGTGGATTTCAGGAGTGTGCCCCAACTGCAAGCTAAGCAAAAGTCATATTTTCTTTTCTGGAAAACACTGCATCTTTTCTCAGCACTTGCCTGGCTCCACAGAGAAAGGATAGACTGGGAAAACATGAATTTATGGGGAGATGCCAGCTTTTATTTGCCACGGGAGGTTAAAGGTTCCCTACAGTACAAAGGAGATTTTCTTGCCCAGACAATCCCATCGTGGTACATATCAGCAGAAGTAAAGCTGCAAAACTCAGCAATGATCAAGAGAGATCTGCTGAACTTGAGCTGAAATTTTTTCAAACATTCACTAGCTTTTCTCTATATGCATTCCCACATCAACAATTGGCAATATGAATCCAGTAAAAAAAAAAAAGCAGGATCTCTGGTTTCTGTTAAAACAACACACACAGAACCCCCAAATATCCTTCCAACATAAAGTTCAATTTCTTTGTGCTGCACAGAGATTAATAATTATTATCTTATCTATTGTGAGTTGATGCAATTTCTTTTTTCCTCCCACACACCCACACTTCTGTTTCCTTCTGATCTTCATTTGTAGCTGAGCTACTGTTTAGCTGAAAGGAAGGAATTTGTTAATACCGCCCTAAAAAGATGCCTGTTCATGCAGTGACAAAGGATGGAGATGTTGGCTATTGATAAAAGAAAATAAAGAACTTATTTTCCAAACATCCGAAGAGAAATAACCTCATCATTCAGGTATTGCTTGTACATTCCAAGTTAAAAGAAAGAAAATAAAAAAGTCAGAAGATCTGAAACTCTCTTGAGCTCAATCATTCTCATTTGACTGTAGTTCTTAACATGCATAATTATAAACAACAGATGGAGAAATGCTCAGATAAAGCCAAAAGGGGTGGGTGGGGGAAAGTCACCCTGATGATGGATGTTTTCAATTTGGATGCGAACCAGCCTTAAACCCCTTGGTCTTTCAGGTTTCAGCATCGGCTGTTTGGCAGCTCGGCAGGGCACAATGAAGGCATCACCCCAGGAGCCCACGGAGCCCCTGAGTCAGCCAGGCGCCTGAGGCTGGCAGCAGTGCCACAGCAGACTGGTCTCTGCTGCAGCCAGCTGGGAAGAAGCTTTTCATCAGGAGAAGGAACCAAAGTGATGGGCTGAACTTATGGGAGGAATGAGTGTCTGGTCAGGCGAAGATTTGGAGGCCTGTTGGGAAGCGTGAAGGGCCAGTTTCAGTAAGGGCATGGCCAAAGCTTTCTTCAGGCTACAGAAGTTTCTCCGTCGGATCCAGTTTCTGCTCTTCTTCCTCACAGCAGCTTACCTGATGGCTGGCAGCCTCTTGCTACTGCAGCGGACCCGCTTGGTTCTCCAGCAAGGTTCGCGTGGGACCCCCACTAACCAGGCCCTGCCTGTGCTGGAGGAGATGAGCAGGGTTGGGATCATAGACCCCAGGGCCCTGCAGAACCCCCGCCCCGGCCCCAGGCTGCTGGTGGGCGCGGATGCACTGCAGGAGCCGGCCCTGGACCAGCGGCACAGCCCGCACTGGCTCACGTCTCGCAACTCGGAGCTCAGGCAGCTGAGGAGAAGGTGGTTTCACAGGTTCACCAGCGATCAGGAGCCCCTGCAGACAGCAGGATTGAAAGCAATGAAGCACACTGTTGAACACAAAGGTAAGGGACGGAGCCTGCCCATTCACACGTGTAGCCTGCACTTTGCTGACCTCAGGGAGACACGGGTGAGCATCACACGCTCCTGCAGGTCTGCCTTCCTCCCTGCTCATCACCACTTTCAAAACAGTTCTTAGGCATATGCCTAGGCCAAAGTACAAAGGATCCATGCTGGATGACTGCTGTGCCCTCACTGCAGCAGCAAAGTATTGATTTATAATCTTTGATGCTTTGCCTTTTAGAGGAACTAGTTTTTCTTGGAGATGTTTCACTGATAATAAAACAGGAATGGGATCTGGATGACTAGACACCACATTTCGGAACTGCTTTTTTAGTTTGTTGAATTAATTTGCCCAAAAAAAAGAGCACAAAATCCCATAAAATGGGTGCCACATCATGCTACTTACTGAGGGAATTGTCAGAAATGGGAATGAGAAGGTGATAGTGGTGGGAGATGAGTCATGCAGTGTGAGTCAGGAAAACTGAGCTGCTGGAGTTACCTGAAGCTCCAAGCTGGAGCTGCTCCACAGATCCTTCAGAGCACCCTGTTGGTGGCAGCTTTTGGTGGCAGGGGAGAGACTGAGAGCTGCTCAGCCAGGACCTTGCTGAGGTTCTAGCTACTGATGAGAGGAGCCAGAAGTACTATTTATTTGTACATCTCACCATATTGAACTGTAGATTAAAATATGCATCATTTGAATATCTGATTGAACATGAAGGGACATTATTAATAACAATATTGTCAACAAGCATTGGAATGCCTTTGAAGGTAATTAATTAAAACTTAACTACCTACGTAGAGCATGTTATCTTCTCCAATTCATTTATAGTAAACTTAGAGGCTTGTTATTTCATTATGGATCCCTTTCAACACCTAATGAACTCCTCCATGCTTTTAATGCTTAATGATGTTTCAGTGATGCCCTGTGGTTCCTGCTTAGTAGAGCAGCACTGCCTGACCATGGAGGCTGGGCTTGTGCACCCCTCATGGGTGTCATCCTAATAAGGCTGTGGTGGCTCCGAGGCAGTGCAGCTCTGTCCTCGGGGCTGCTAGCCAGCCCTTCAAAGGCTTCCCCAGGCAGACCCTTAACCCAAGCCACAAACAATGGCATATCCCCAGCCTATTGTGACCTCCCAGCTCACCTTGCCTCTCTCTGTCTCCACCCAGGAGCACGTGGCCTTTGCTGAGAAAATCGAAGTATTTTCTTTTCTCCAGGTCAGGCTATCTCACCTGCTGACATTGCAAGTGGCTCAGGGCAGGGACCACACTTTTCCTGACAGGGACACTGACAAATGCTGTTAGTACAACTGTGAGAGTTTTCTATTCTGATTGCTCCCAGTGGATGGAGTTTTGCAGTTTCCCATGCCTGGTTCTGCCATTGAACAGGATGCAGAGGTGACAGGGACTGTGTCACTGACATGACATGCTACTCTGAGACTGTGGCATCTCCGTGACTCATTCATGGGAGGATGTGAACGAGAAATTGCTGCCAGGCTGGTGGTGCCTTGGAGGAACACAGGGAGGAGGGCACAGGGTGCCTGGCCTGCCCAGGACTCCCCGTCAGGTTCTTCAGCATCCTCAGTTTTCTGCTGCTACAGGTTTGAGACAGAGTACCCAAATCAAAAGTTTCCAGTAAAATGTGGAGCATCTTTGCTGCAAGTGTGTGACTCCCACCTCTTTAATAGTGTGCTGGGGGTGTGTATTCACAGCTTGTGAATTTTCTAATTACACAGTAGCAAATTACCATGTGCAGGTCTTTGAATCTACAGTTGTGTTTGTAATATTTAAATGTTTGATTTATTATTCCTGGCTCCAAAATCCCTGGTGGAGCAACTCAAACTTCTGTTTTCTTGAGGATTAGTTTTCTAGTTTCTAATGTTTTCTAGTTTCATTTTTCACCATATATTCTTTTCTTGTCCACATTATTTAATGTGTGCTTATATTATTTAATTTCCCTGTCTTATCATCTCAATGTTGTTATTTCTAAAGTAAAATTTCCTTTTTTCCTTCATATTTTGATGATAAAATGTACTTATAGACATACAATTGCTGTATAATAGTAGGACTCCACATCGTCATCCCAATTGTATATTAAAAAATGGGCTGGATTTTTATAGTATTTTGTTCACGACAACAAAAATTAGGCTGAGCACTGAATGCAGTCTAAGAAACATTTATCTTTCTTATGCTAAGTAAAGCAAGACATATTTGAAGAGATTCCTTTACACCAGAGAGGAGATAGCTCAGTGTGATGGTTACATTGTGCTGCCTAGTTAAAAGTGAATTTATCTTTCCATTACAGCTTTAATGTAACTCTCTATATCCAAAGAAAATTGATTTTCTTAATATTTCTCTTGCACCATCTCATTATCAGCTAGAGATTTTAAAGAACACTTGGGAGAAATCCAAGAGGATTTCTGGAAATTTTTAGCATTTGAAGGCTACATTCTCCTGTACTTTAGAGAAGTGCAGTGTTTTGTCACCCAAAGGAGAGAGCTCAGCAGGCAGCAGCTGCATGCAGGAGCTGCACTCCTGGGTGGGTTGTGGTCTGCTGAAAGGAACTTGTGGAAGGGAAAGTCTCACTTCCTTTTTGCCCATTTTCACAGGACAGTGGCACTGACCCCTTACCAAGGTTCAGTAGCAATGGAGAGGTCTGCAGAGGGTGTGGGACCCCCAAACAGACTGGGACTTGACCAAAGGTAGCCCTGCTTGCAGTGTGAAGCACTTGATAAGCTGTGTTGCCTAACCCTGGTCTTGTATGCACACAGGCACCTACATGGGCTGCTTCACTCAGGATTCGAGGGAGAGGACACTGAAGGGAGCTGTCTTTTATGACTTAAGAAAAATGACAGTAGCTCACTGTCAAGAAGCTTGTGCTGAGAGGTGAGTGGTATTTTTTCACTGCAAGTTTTCTCTTTTTTGGCAATAAGTGGAACTGAATTTGAAACGGGAAAATCATTCCTATGTTAAACACGCAGCATCTATGAAAACAGTGATTATCTCATACCTTCAGGCACAGCATAGCTCTGCTGCACTGCTGTCTATTCTCTGTGGCACCATGGATACTTACATTATATTGTCTTTTGTCCTGGTCAAAAATGACTGGTTAAATAGTCTTTGTAAGATACCTATCTTTTGATAGATATTGGTCTCTAGCCCCTATCTTGTTGAGGGGCTGCCCCTGCTGAGGAGGCTGTGCTGTCTCCAGGATGGACTCAGCCCCAGAACAGGAGCATAGGCTGCATGCAGGGACATGGGGACAGGTTCGTCCCTTGCTCAGGTAAGCCTGGGGAGCAGACGGGCCCCTCTGTGACAGTGGCTGGTGTTTCTCCTCGCAGAGCTTACAGCTACGCAGGCCTGGCATATGGAGCAGAGTGCTACTGTGGGAACACGCTGCCAGCTGCTGCCGCCAAGGCCGAGGAGTGCAACAGCGAGTGCAAGGGGGAGAAGGGCTCTGTGTGCGGCGGGGTGAACCGGCTCTCGGTCTACAGCCTGGAGCAGCTGCGGCCAGCAGCCAGGCCACGTAAGTGTGCGTGTGACCGCACAGGGGAGGCCGCAGGGGAGAGATGGCACGGCCAGGCTGAGTACAGGGGCTGTCCCTGCTGCCTGTCTCACTCCGTTTGTCACCAGAGTTTGAGGCAGCAAAGGACAAAGGTGCCTGAAGGGCACAATGTCCATTTGCTGCTTGTCTGGTCCCTGGCTCCTCCCCAGAATATCACTGCTGCTCACCACCCCAGAGCGGGGACGTGTGCCTGGCACACTGCCTCGGGGCTGCCACCTACGAGGTTCCTGTCACCAGGGAGGAGACGCAACACAGCACAGAGTGACTGCAACAGAAGCAAAATTTCAGCTGAACAAAAACACTCCCTTTGGTAACTACTGAAGGGGTACAAACACAGGTGTGTTTAAGAAATAGCCTTGGAAGAGGTGCCCTGTAAGAGGAGGGCAGAAAATTACTCAGATCAAGGCCACCCTACGCTCAGATGATCCTAAACAAAATGAGTAATATGTGACTGCAGGGAATAAGTGGAGGTCAGAAAGAGCCACATCAATCCCTTTCCCGGGAGAAATGAGACTAGAGTTTTGTTTTTCCATGGAGTTCTGTTTCAGTGGGAGTTGGGAATTTTGTTCAATCTTTAGATAATCCATCGATACCCCATTGTTTAGTTAGCTTCTATGGGGGACTCAATGGATAAACCTTTAGGCAAACACAAAGCGCATACGAGATCTAAGCTGCTGATCAATCCTTGCAATTGGCAAGCTCACAAGACCTTATGGATGTTATTTGCTGAGAAGAAGCACCAAGATCTTAGGTTGTGTCATTATTGATGGTCCTTCATTTCTTCTTAAAGACAAGTCAAGGTTTGTACAATAATCCAACCAGCTAAATATAAATTATATATCAAAGGTACACAGACCTAAATTGCTACTGTCAGGCTGACAGACATGTTGGCAGGTTTCCCAGGACACGCATCGCTGTTTCAACCTCCAGTATGAAATATATATGCACATTCCTCAGGAAAAGACAGCATTTAATTTATTTTTTAAAGTATTAATGAATTACTCCTCAAATTAGTCTAGCCTGAAGCTAGAGTTGTAATTTTCTTGCCCTTAGAAATGCCTGATAGTTGTCTGTTTGAAGAATCCCCCAGACACAAACCACCTGAGAGGCCAAAAGAAGTATTAATCACAATGAACGAGTATGCTAGAAAGTAACTCAGAGATTGTAAAGGCCCCCATGATTTACGCTGTGTACTGTAGGGCACAGACCTCACATAAGTCTTTTATACAGAGCAGATTCAGTGACATCTCCACTTAAACCTTCCCAGACAGGGAAGGCTTGCTGTCTCCCCCCTGTCTCCCCTCCCTCTGCCCACCGTGGTTCCCCGGACACCCTGACTCCTGCCCCATGTCATGGTAAGGAAGCCCAGAGCGTGCAGCTGTGGCAGCCAGGGTGGCCAGGGTGGCTGTGGTGGCCAGGGTGGCTGTGCCTCAGGGTGTCCTTCCCCCAAAAAAAGTGGGCAGACCACACAGACCCGGATGTTTCCAGCATAATCCATGGCTGCATCCTGCTCCCTCCTGATGCCAGTGTAGGCAGGTTGAGCTTTCTTCCTGACCACTGAGAAACTCTAAACATGTTTGTAAACATTTTGTTTCAGAACTATATATCAGTGTGAGATTTAGTAGAATACCTTTCAAGAACATTCTGAGAAGTCCAAACACTCTTTTTATTCTTTGTTTCCATGCTCAAAGGGACCTGGTCCTAAGTAGACATCCTTTCAGCTTGGGTGGAGTTATTTTATTTTCACATCATCTGTGCCATCTCAGAGATCCAGCTCTGCTTCTAGTAAATGATCTGAATAGTTACAAGAACTAAATTTAAGCAGCTTCTCCTTAGATTACTTTAGACTCTTGCTAGAGAGTCTGGCCTTTTCTGCCAAGAAATTCATGCAGAACCAATTGTTTTTTTTCATAACTGCACCACGTCTCTCCTGTCATTCAACTCACTTCCCACATCAGTTCTGGCAATGCCGTTTAAGGGAGCGACTGCAATAGTGCCAAGCTCTGTGGTGTTTCTGCAGAAGCAGGTGAAATCTGAGGCTGGTGCTGGAGACACAGTGGAAAGTGATCTCCCTGAGCAGTTGACAAAAGCCCGGTTTCGAGTCGGAAAGGCTGCAGCAAACTCTCTTGGCCCGAACGCGAGGGAGCAGAGGGGCAGATGAAGGGAAGGTGGGTCCGACGGCGACGACGGGGTTTTCAGGAGTCATTTACGTTCCTTTCCTTTTCTGATGCAGAAGCTTGGTAGATTTTTATCAGGGCTTTTAACTCATTGAGGGGAAAGCAGGTCTTCAGAGGAAACCAGGACCTGCAAATAATAGCAATGCCCTCCGCTGGTGAAATTAAACTCGGTGCTGCAGCGCTGCTTCCCGTGGTTAGCACAAAGATAAAGGCATGTGCTCCTTTCAGTACCACACAATTTGCAACACGTTTTTTCTAGCGTATATTATAGTTTCTATTATTTCTGCAACCTTTATAATATGAAATTTATTTTATTATTTCTGGCTTCTGAACCTAATATTATTCTTTGTGAAAGACACAGGATACTACGGACATCGTTTTCATAAGAGAAATCTATTTCATATCCCCGCAGGGAGGAATGTTATCTATCGAGGATGTTTTAGAGCTCCAGAAAATTTAACAGACACCTTTCCAGCCTCATTGATACAGCCCAATTTGACGGTGGAGATGTGCTCTGAATTTTGCTCCAAGAAAGTAAGAACAGTTCTCATTTCACATCCTTTCTTTTATTGTTATTTTAATTTCTAATCTACTGAGGGAAGGGCAGAGATTAGTGCCTTAGAGCTTTGAATTTACAAATGAGTTTCTAAAGGACAAAACTCATCAGAGTAAATACCCAGTGATGCATCTGGTCCAACTGCTGGAGTGGGAATGGTGGGAGGGAAAGTCATCGGAGTGGTGCCACCAGACATGATACACAGGCAAGCTGCTCTAAGTAATGAGTATCGACCGAGAGGAGATCGATACCTTTTCCGTGCCACATTCCAATCAAGCCCTGAGCCACATCTGCCCCCGGGGGAGGTGGCTGCAGCTCATGGAGAGACATGCTGCCAGAGGGCGGATGTGGGCTGGCAGCATCCGAAAAAAAAGCTCTAGTGCCCTCCGAGGGAGCCAGTTCCACTCAAGGAGCCGTGCACAGGCCACGGGCAGGGCACCCTCTGCTTTAGTGGCTGTTGGTTCCCTTCCCTTCCTCCCCACTGTAATGGGGCTGGTTTTTTCTACACAGGGTTCACTAAATGGTCCAGTTTTGCCTGCAGCCACATTTAGCCTCATGCACCAAACTCAACGTTCAATTACTTTTTGCAACATCACAAAACTGATTAAAACTATTAGTTGGCTGATTACAATGCTTTGACCAGGACCCATGGCCTCAGTGCAGTCTCCTCTCCCATGGAATAAGCAAATGGCCTCAGGTTGCACCAGGGGAGGGCTAGATTGGATATTAGAAAAAAGTTGAGATTTCTCATGCAAAACCCACTCCAGGTTTCTCTCTTTCCTCACTCATGTGCTGCCCAAGCCATGGGAAGGTTGTGCAGGTAAGGGTCAGCCTGCCCTGGGGACAGACACTGCACCACTGGCACCCTGCACTGACCGCCTTCTGAAGGTGCAGGAGTATAGAGGAGCAGTTATTTTGTTGCCTCACAGAACCTCCAGCCTTACGGAAAAGTTCATCACTTGCAGAGGCCACTTGGCATAAGGTACAAGGAACACTTTTATTCTAGGCTGTTTCAGGGCAGGGACATTTACTAATTTCTCAATCTGAGAAACACTGCTTCATTGTAAAGGAAAATATTCTGTTTGCAGGCAAACCTAGAACTCTTTCGCCCTTGGATCAAATCTGTAAATAGCTTTTGACAATGTCATATCTCATTCGCTAGGTAAATGTTGGCTGTTGGGCACACACAGCACACGAGTTGCATTCCACTCCTTATCAGAGGATGAATGCATGGGAAAGAGCAAGAGATAAGCTGCTCAGCGGTCCTGTCACATGCTCCCAGACTCCAAAAGACTTTTAAAAGGCAAAAAGTGTTGATATGGAATAGATGGACTGGAACATTCTGTGCTTCTGCACTCAAATACTGCCTGAGCTTCCTTCAGCCTTCTGCCCGCCCACACAGCCCTGTGCCACCAAGAGAGCACACAGGACTCTAAGGCAACCCAAATCTTTCTGTTAAACCTGAAAGTAGAAAACCTGAACTTTAGGGTCAGTAAGCAACTGAAAATTTCTTTGGCAAATATTTAGCACATTTGCCTCAAACTTGTTTTAATATTTACCACTATTAGCCCAGCAGCTGGGGTTTGGTACACCACCACTACACAGCTTTGCAACCTGTTACCCTTCCCTGGTAAGTTTGGTACACCAAAACCTGAATTACTCTGCATCAAATCAATTAAAAAACACTTCTTACAGACAATAACTTCCTTAAGAATTTATTCCTTTCAAATAAAACTAACTTCCTCATGATTGCACACCTTAGTAGGCTTCCTATCTAGAAGCAAGGTGAATTTCAAAATTTACAAATATGAAGACAGTAATAGGAAAGTAGCACGAGCTTTAGAATGACAATGCTTTGATCCTGACAGTGGCCTTGTGAAGACTTATTTTCTTTGCATGGCAGCATCATTCCCTGCAGGCTGTTGATGCCATGGCATTTACACACGGATCTATTTTCCCTCTTTTGCAGGAGTTCCCGTTGGCAGTGATCCGAGGGCAGGAATGCTACTGTGGATACCCCACCAGGCACTTCTCGCTGCGCGAGGGCACGGATGGGCGGCGCTGCAGCGGGACCCACAACGTCAGCAGCGCTGCTGGGGGACAGTACTGCCTGGTCTATCAGACACCTGTGCAAGGTACAAGCTCCAGCCTCACTGTGCCAGGGCCACCGCTGCTGGAAACAGTCCCTCTGCCCCTTCTGCAGTGGGTAAAAGTGATCTCATTTACAGCAGTCTGAGCCACAATAGTGGGTATCACCATACGGGCAAGAGTTTAGCAAACAGTCTTTCTCTAAATTCCCCTCTTGCAATCATGCTCATCAAGATGCATCTTTCCATTCTCTCATTACACAACACCTTTTAAGACAACTTGCTAGTAAGTACAATGGCTTGTTGCAGCTTTATCAAAAAAGCATTGCCTTACACAAAACCAGCAGAAACCTCTTTGAGGATAATCTCTTTGGCCTCATACAGCTGAATTAATTTTAGGAAGTAGCTGACTCATAACCAGACCAAATTCATACCCTATATTACTAAGAGAGAGAAGGAGGAAGTAATAAACTGTAATCAAGAGCTGTATGTGTAATTATTAAAAAGCCACAATACTAACAATGAAGTATCTTCTCTCCCCACAGACACCCGCTGCACAGACAGGAAATTCTTAACCACTAAATCCAAAGTGTTTGTTGCTTTGTCAAGCTTTCCTGGAGCTGGGAATACGTGGGCACGCCATCTGATAGAGCATGCCACAGGATACTACACAGGAAGTTATTACTTTGACGGAGCCCTCTACAACAAAGGTATCGGAGCCCAAGAGACGGGACACAGGCAGCCCTTCCATAGCACAGAGCTTTGCTTATTGCCCTGTCATCTTTCTGCTTGAGCCAGCAGTGGCTGTTGCTGTGAGCATGATGGTACAATTTAAACACGCCTGGCCCGAGCAGCCTCCAGCAGTGCAGATGGCAGCAGGGACAGCTCCAGCAGCACGCTGCTCTGACAGGTAGCTGCCAACAGACCAACAGCCAGGCTCTCCACTTGTAAATGGGCACACTGCCTGCACTGGTGCCCTGTGCACACACTGCTCCCACCTGACAGGCTGGTCCAAAAGACCAGTCACCTAAACACAGTGGGTAAGACCCTTCAGCAAACATGTAGGTTAAATTTTCAAACATTACTAATTATTCTGGGAGAACTGTATCCTGAGGCAGCAGAAATTCAGCAAGTACCAAGCACTGGCCCTGTGAAAAGCTGCCTCATTGCAGTGTTGGGGCTGAGGATGCCTCCCCCAGCAGAGGGATAGCCTGGCTGCTAGCATGTGCCCAATGTGGTGGCTGGGGCTCCAGCCACGGTTTAGCTGACTGGCACAGTCACACCAGCTTTACACCACTAGGGAATGATTTAGTGGGAAAAGGCACAGACATATAATCAGGCAAAGTAGCCAACAATCCTGTCTTGTAAAACAGGTTTCAAAGGAGAAAAAGATCACTGGAGAAGTAGAAGGACCATCTGTGTGAAAACACATGAAAGTGGCAAGACAGAGATCGAAATGTTCGACTCGGCGATCCTGTTGATAAGGAACCCATACAAGTCACTGATGGCAGAATTCAACAGAAAATACGCTGGGCATCTGGGCTATGCCACTGACCACAACTGGAAGAGCAAAGGTGAGCATTACCCCAACACAGGCAGGTTTGAAACCCATCTCCTCAGTGTGGTGGGAAGGGAGGACACACTAGGACCTGAGTGAGTGTTGCTATCAAATTCAGTGGGACTTGAGTCCTGCCACAGCTGAGATCAATCCCAAAACCTCTGACACTTGCACAGTGGAAGCAGTGTGGTCTTGCTGTACATCCACCCCCAGAGGGGAGGGGAGTGCAGCACCATTGCCACGGGCACGCAGAAGCATCACTGCACTGCTGGGCATAGAAAACATGCCCATGTACAGTATTCGGGTGCACAGCCCATTTGCCAGGCTGAGGTGAAGAAAATTTGCCCCTACAGCATGTAACGATGAGAAATCTAACTTTAGATTTGGAGGATCCAATGGAACATGACATTTAATGATGGGTATTTTAGAGTGCTGCACAGGTGCTACTGCACTGCAGAAAAATAAGGATAACAGCAATAAGTGGACCTGAAATTCAGTGTGCACTGAACACATGAGAAGGCTTCAGAACCTGCCTGCCACACTTCCCATGTTTGACTGGCAACTGGCTTGTGACTGCAATTTCCCCACTGGATACACTGCTGCTTTCAGACTCTGCAGCAAAAAAGCCATTTATTTGGCTTCCATTTCTCCTTGTACATATTTTAGGCATTATAGCTGTGGCTTGGCAGGGGGCTGGGGGAAAAGGTGTCCTGTGTCACAGCACATGTCTTTCCCAATCTGATGTATCACCTTTCATCATTCACAACTCAAGACCTATTAATCAAAAACTGACAAAATAGCCCCCAGAAAAAAAGAAAAAGTCTGCTGGGAATGGCTTTTCCATACTGCAAACTGTGAATTGTTATATTTCAGCTACAAATGCTCTTAGTCCAGCCCAAAAGCTTTCACTAGGACTGTCTTGACTTCAGGAAATTAAATGATCAAAGAGAGCAAATAGAGATCAAGGTATCATTAATGTCTAAAGCAAAGGAAAATTGCTGACATGCAGCATGGCTAACACTGTCTCATTTTCCTGGTTTCCTGGTCATCCAGAGTGGCCGGATTTTGTGAACAGCTATGCCTCCTGGTGGGCCTCCCATGTCCTGGAGTGGCTGAAGTACGGGAAGCGCCTGCTCATTGTCCATTATGAGGAGCTGAAGCAGAGCCTCATCCCCAAGCTGAAGGAAATGGTGGAGTTTCTGAATGTGACAGTGACAGAGGACCGTCTGCTCTGTGTGGAGAACAACAGGGATGGGAATTTCAAGCGGTCTGGTGCTAAGCAAAAGAATTTTGAGCCATTCACCCAGGAAATGAAAAATCTTATCAACAGATACATCCTGACAGTGGATGAAGCCCTAAGGGGAAGAAATTTCTCAGGGCTGCCCAGGGAATATGTGCCAAGATGATAGGCTGGTATCGCACTGCTGTGGTTAAAAATGAAGTTGGTTGTTTTTTTTTCTTAAAAAAACAGAAAAAAAGCCAAAAAAAAAAA